GACTAGGATGCGGAGGAGGAGGAGGGGGGGGGGAGGAGGAGGAGGGGGAGGAGGAGGAGATGAAGGAGGAGATGGAGGAGAAAGAGGAGCGAGCAGAAGCCAGCAACAAAGTGGTTCAAAGTCGCCGGCGGGGGGCGGAAGAACCCACCAGCATCCCAAGCCGAGGGCCCATCACTTGCAGGGCGGTGGCCGGAGCCGTCAGCGCTGCAGGTGACGAGCCCCTGGAAGGAGCACCCGCGAGCACGAGGCAGGCCAGGCGCTTCGGGCAAGACAAAAAAGAAGCAGGGCGAGGCGGAGGAGGAAGAAGAGGAGAGGAGAGGAGAGGAGAGGAGAGGAGAGGAGAGGAGAGGAGAGGAGAGGACAGGACAGGAGAGGAGAAGAAAGGAGAGGAGAGGAGAGGAGAGGAGAGGAGAGGAGAGGAGAGGAGAGGAGAGGAGAGGAGAGGAGAGGAGAGGAGAGGAGAGAAAGAGAAGAGGAGAGGAGAGGAGAGAAGAGGAGCGAGGAGCGCGGAACGAGGAGCGATGCGCGAGGAAAGAGGACAGAGGAGAGAGGCGAGAGGAGAGGAGATCGGACAAGTAGACGGGAGTCTCGTCGACAGCCGGCTACTGCGGTAGCCGAGGCCGCCATCTCACTCTCGGCGGCGGCGCGCATCTGAAAGTACGGGGAGCCAAACGACGCGCCCGCTGAAGCGGGGTCGCCAGAGGTGGTAAATTAGTCGGTCCGCTGTGAAGTCGGACTGCGCGCGCGTTGTGTAGTCGGACTATGGCGTCGACGGCCGCGGAGTCGCCCCGGCGTGGCCGCGACGGCTCGTCGCACGACTTAGGCGCGGTCGCCTGTGGCCCCATCAGCTGGACGCGCGACTGCGACTGGCGCGCCAGCGGCGTGGCCACAAGGCGCATGGTTGACGTGGCGGTCGTGGTTGTCGCCCCCGCCCCACCCTCCTCGACTCGCCTCCTCTGCCGTGCCGCGCGCGTAGACGGCGGGGGGGGGGGGGGGGGCGCCCGGGGCGGGAATCTCGGGGGGGG